GCAATCTCCTACAGAAAACAGTAAATGATTTTGTCGTGAACAATATAAAATCTCTGTAAAATTCCAACTCCCTCTTTTAATTCTTCTCCATCCCAGATTTTTCTAATAGTTCCTAACCCTTTCCTCTATTGTTGATTTATTTAAGTTTAAGCACTGAGTGTATGTATTCGTGTACAGCTGTGATCTCCTTCATTGTGCTTTGCACCTGCAATGAGACAACTTGTTTATTATCCATTTATGTAGGACTGTAAAGTGTGCACAGTATTTTACAACTGGTCAGCGTGCCATACAAGGAACGTCATCACTGCTCTAAGGTGCTCATGGGCTAACGGCATAAATGGGAATATTTCTTTAAAGGGTTCTCAGAAGCTGCTTAAAAGACAAGATGGAAGAGGCTGCATTGAGATCCCTGATGCAATTTCAAAGCCAAAAGACTGGGCCCATTGTGTTCATTACAATGAAGGTGAAAGTGATCATTGCTAGTGGGAGGCTCTGCTTGGTCTTGCTTTAGGTAAACAAAAGAAAAAACCTCCTGTTTACAAATCCTCCTCTCTCCCCATAGGATGGATTAAAGGAAGAGAGAATGCTTAATGTCAACATCCTCCCTGTTCCAACATAACAATAAAATTACCCTTTTCAAACTAGAGCTCAAAGGCCACTGAAATCATCTTGAAAATGTTACTTTGTGTGTGTGTAAACAATGAGACAAAACTCACCCACTACTTAGGAACTGTTTATAGCACGCTGATGGTACTAAATCTGTTATCAATAACTTTAGAGGCCATTGTTGTTCATTACAAACTCCATTTGTTTTGTTCCAATCTGAGTCCTTGTTAGTGTGCATAAAAGGCAATTTCTGCAGAAAATCACGTCATAAAATGCAAAATTTTTAGTATTCTGCATTCTGAGTAAAATGAACACTACTGTAGTTGGAAAAAATATTTTGTAAAAATGGCAACATTGTTGTTATTCAGCGACCTAGATGCGTCATGGCAGGGCTGTGTAAAAACTGTCTATTGCACCCTGCCTTCAGATTTCGCTATCATTGTTCGTTCACAGATTCCTTACAGCGTGCTCTGTCCTGTGAAGACAGAAGAAGACATAGTCCCTGTTCCAGGGATAATCTCCTGCAAACATTTACTGTCAAGTGTAGTGCTCATTGCCACAGTAGTTCCATATGATATATCTACATTTCAGAATTTTTTGTGGTCAAACGTGAATCTTAAATTGGCTGCTGCAATACTGACTGTCAATCAGTGTAGATGACCGAAAATCATGTTCAAACTTGTGTCAACTCTTAGTTAATTTGTTAGCTGATGTTATGCTGAACACAATTTGCTCTAGTTTATATTGGCCAGTCAGCTGTGGTCAGCATTGTGTCAGCAAACTCAACTCTTCACACTTCATGGTAAAATTTTATAATGCCCATCAACATCTGTAGGACTAATGACACTGAGCATCCTTCTGAAAATGTCTTATAAAATTTTGAAGCGATGAAACCAATGAATTTATATAGAAATCTAATGGAGTCCAATAAAAACTACTCTAACTATAGAATTTACTAGAGAATGATAGTGTTTCTAGATTTTTTTAAATGTATAGAATTCTATAGCAGCGATAGATTTCTTTATTAAATTCTATAGGATGATTCAAATCCCTGTAGCAAGGGGTTTTTTTCTATTAAATTCAACAGCACTTTTCTAAAAGGACACTAGCTTATCAGTAAATGTTTCCAGGAATGGGTCCTGCATTGTTAACTATTTTGAGGGAAACATTCTGCCAAGACTGCAAAGCTATCAAATCTAGCAACACTCCACTGGGAGGTGACTGAAAAATCAGGAGAAAATGGCTGTCAGCATTTTGGAATGGACTGCCTTTTCTTAGATACATTCTGACAGCTTAACCAAATTATTCCAGCTAAACAACTTTATATAACAATAATGAACTTATCAGTTGCTCCTGTATGTTTGTCATCCAGTTGTTTATATAAGATCTAAGAACATCTTAATAATTATATAATACCTTAGAAGGTTCTGAGATAGCTTTATCACTTGTCTCCCAGGAAGGAAGGCTGTACATATTGGAGGATTTTCTTTTTGGGGTCTTTTTCATGCAAGTCTGGAAGTGCCTCTTAATTAGAAAAACTTCCAAATAAGTTTGGGCTGTTGTGGGATCCCCAGTGTCTCTGTTATTGGGGCGGGAAGAATAAATTGTTATTACTCTGATTATGGGAACTGTGCTTGGAACTGTACTTGGCCTTTTGTTATGATGGAGGGACTCACCATCAACTGAGTAGCACTCGCTAGGCAAGGGACATGGGTTCCAAAACTCTGTGAATTGAGAGAGACTTGAGACAGGTATTAGTACCTGGTGGTGTGGGTCCCTTTGTGAGGGCCTGAAGCACCAATTGCACCTCTGTCTCTCTCCACTGTGGAATGTCAGAGCTAATTTTGGGTCTATTAAGAGTTTTGTTACAGGTACTGTGCTGCATTCACTTTGGCCTTATGGTGCACCAGCACTAAGGCTCCCACTACTATGAGCTGGAATCACTGAGAGCTGAAATCACTGAGCACTGTGTCAAGTAGTGGGGAGCCGGAAGATCTAGAGTGCAGCGGTGCTGTTCATGGATAGGCTGGCGGAGTGTTCGTGAGATGGCGAGGTGAGCAGAGCTGTTCGTGAGACGGCGAGCTGTGCAGAGCGGAGCCGGTCGTGAGACAGCGGTGTGTTCGTGAGATGGCGAGCTGAGCAGAGCTGTTCGTGAGACAGCGTAGCAGAGCAGAGCCCTGTGGGGCAGTCAGCTTCAGGACACGTAAGGTGCCCCTTACCTCTTTCCCCCACACACAGGCACATTTTAGCCAGACTGGGGAGTAACACTATGCAGATGAACTTTTGAACTCTGGGGCTGGACTTTTTGGACTTTGGGTGATTTGTGGATTGTTGGACTCAAGAGACGTTTGGGTTCTGGGACTCAAGAACCTGAGGGAAAGGATGTGGCCCAATTTTCTGGGGTGGGTCTTTGCTCATGGTTTGGTTAATGAACACTAGTTGTGGTGTTTCCCCAATTTAATGCTGATGTCGTTTACCTCATGTTATTAAAGATTCTCTACTACACCGAGGCTCTGTGCTTGCGAGAGGGGAAGTATTGCCTCTTTGAGGCGCCCAGGGGGTGTGTAAGATTTTCCCAGGTCACTGGGTGGGGGCTCGAGCTAGTTTTGCATTTGCTTTGATGAGAGGGAACCCCTGTGTACTGAACCCGGCCCTTGCTGCTATCAACTTGGCCTGGCAGAAGGGTTACATAGGATAGGCCAAGTAACCTCCCCCCGACTGGAAAAAGTATTTTATTGCAGTAATAGTCCTGTTGGATATATTTATTAGTTTTATTTGCTTCTGTTCTATTAACATCTGTTGCATGCGTGAGATTTCATTGTTGTTGCTGACTTCTCTGAGGAGCGTTTCTGTACAAAACAAGGAAACATAATCATTAGAACACTGGCATCTTTCAGATTGTTAGACAGTTGATAGCCAATATGGGTATGCACGCATGTTTGCCTGTAGTCTCCAAAGGCCAATTGTAATATTGTTGATGGAGGTGGGGGTTATGCTGGTGCTTAAAAAACACCTAGATTTTTTAAAAAAAATCTTGATTTTCTTCAATATTATGTAAACGATAAGAATGCACGTATATAAACCTATTTATCCAGCTTTTGGTTAGCTGAAAGTCGGGCATGTCTCTACACATCTATGCATTTCTCTTCTGCTTAGCCCATACCCTGTTTTTCTAAAGACTTGTACTGTGACTATCATACCAAAAAGAGAAAAGGCTACTCTTCACACAATTTCTTTTATTGGATGGGCTGGACACTTCCCATGAGTACACAGTGTATATTCCCAAAGGAATAATGGCTTCCTTGAAACAAGCAGATGTAGGGAACATTTTAAATATTAATCAAAAACTGTTCCTCCTCAACTCCAACCTCTCAGTTGGTAACTTTGTAACCTTGGCATAATGGTTAACTCTGAACTTTTCTCCTTGATCTTGTATTTTTGTGAAGCTGCCACTATGACAGTGGAAACTCCTACCTTGACTCCATTGCTATAGAAATCTTCATCTTCCACTTCATCTCCACTTGAGTACTGCAACAACCTTCAGCATTGAATAACTAGAACTTGGGGAAGCAGACTTCATATGTACAAAAAGAAAAGGAGTACTTGTGGCACCTTAGAGACTAACCAATTTATTTGAGCATGAGCTTTCGTGAGCACGAAAGCTCATGCTCAAATAAATTGGTTAGTCTCTAAGGTGCCACAAGTACTCCTTTTCTTTTTGCGAATACAGACTAACACGGCTGTTCCTCTGAAACCTGTTCATATGTACAGTGCTGTTGCTTGCCTTCTTGCACGTACAAAGAATATCTTATCCTCAAATGCCTTTACCACTATTCATCTCTGGACGCAGTTCAAAACTGTATAAGCCTTTCCCATGAGAATTTGACTTTATGCTACTTCTCACTCCCCCTGTTCTGTTAGCACCCAGTCTCGTTCCCTCCACGCAATCTCACCGTTTTTGGGTGTAAGAGCCATTTTTCTGCAGGTCTTGCTATATGGAAGAGCCTGTCTGTAACTCATCACCTCATTCACACTTTCAAACATTTCATATCTCAGCTGGAAATACAGCTTTTCCCCTTTGTCTTTACCTCTTGAGCTCTCTCATTTTTCTGTAATGTATTTATTATTTAACTTTGTCGTGGAACTATTTAAGTGTGAAAAGTATTTTGGAAAATGCTTCATATGAAAGATGCTACAAAATACAGTTAAATAATTGTAGTGCTGAAATGATCTTCAAATACTGTATGGAGTGTGTAACTCAATTTTTTTGTTTTTTTAAATAACAACAAACTCAGTTATTCATTTGACGACATGCTATTTATTATGTGAAAATCATTGTATGATATAAAGGTACATTTATAGAAGTGACCTTTTTCTCCCTATTTCTTCCCTAGTCAAAGGTTTATACTTGCACACCAACATTATATCTGGACTTCAAGCTGGACAAAGGAGCCAAGCACATTCAGCACAAAGGTAGGAAAGATTTCATTGACCAGTTTAACAGACATTGAAGCCACTTCTCCTGTAATGGGTTGAGTATGAATCTCGGTATCTCTGTATCATTATAGGTAAAATATTCTCCTTATGGAGTGTTGTATATCCTCAGAGTTTAAAAGTTAGTTACCCTTGGCCAAATGCTGCCCTTGAATACAGGGGCATAATTCTCATTGATGTGAGTATCGTCCATGTATCCAAGGGCTGAAGATCCTCCCTGTATCTAAAGTATAATACTAGGTTATCAGGCCAAATTCTCATGCCTGAAAACCATTAATAATTGGGAGATGTAAAACTAGTCCAATTCATGTAATTTTGGGAGACTGGTTTGGAGAAAGGGATGTGCCTGGTTTGGATCCACTAGTTGGCAGTGACTAAAAATGATTACCATCCTCGCCTGTGTAGTGGCTTGAGTAAAAGGATTGGTGCGCTCAGATTTGGGGTTGGGGGTTCACATCACAGTTGGCACTGTAGTATCTTTATCGCTGTTCTCAGTGGGGAGATTTCAAAGTAAAGCAGCAAGAGGACTAAACTACTCTCTTCCCTTCACCGCATTAAAGTTGAAGCTATTGGTGAGAGAATTTGCACACAGTTGCCTGTACTATGCCTTGTCTGTGGATAAATAGGGCCTCCACTCTCTGGGATTGTAAATCCCAATTTATAGCAGGGTTCAGTGGCCCTTCCCTCACTGCGGGGGTGGGCCTTCCATTACTTTGGTGGACTGTGCTCACCAGTCCCAGTCATTGGATAGGCTCACCACTAAATTCACTTCACTGGGAAACATTAAGAAGATTAAAACCAAACCAAACTAATAAACAACCTAAAGTTAATTGGTTAGCTCTCTGTATTGGCCCATGAGAAGCTACTTCAAATATCTTCAAGAATCAGCCATTTTCCTAATTTGATAGCAGAGAAGCAGTTTGACAAATGGTGCAACATTATTAAAGCACAGACTACTTGAGCCTTACAGTTTAGCTGTGGTATTTCAAACATTGTTCTCTCACTATTTCCTTGTATGTAGAGTTTTAATATAGCCTTTGTAGATTTGTTAATTAATAGATTACACTCTGTTGTATAGCAAATACCAATACAATTTGGAGGATTTCCCACCAAATCTACTGCAAAGAAGCATGGAAACAGTGTAACAATATGGGATTTTCATGTACATCCATTTTATTCTATAGTGACTACTAATGCACGCTATTTCCAATTTTTTTCTGGGTCATCTTCGTGATCCCTTCAGACTAGACACATCTAAGAGTTCAGCAGCAGGTCAGTTACTTTGCTTCCTCAGAAAACAGATGTTTATGCACAGTATTTTTACAATAGCAGCCGAAGCAAGTCAGTAAAATGTTGCCCATTACATTCTATGTCACTTGCAAAGAATCTAGGGCCCAATCCTCCTTCATGCGGTAACCTTTACTCTCGTGAACAGTCCCAGTGAGTTCAGTAGAGCTCCTCATATGTGTAAAAATTGGCAGGACTGGTCTCATAATTAGCAAAATCTCCATCATTACCAAATTCCTTCACATTTGCAACACATTTTTGCTTGTTAGCTTGAGAAAAAAGAATTCAGTGTTGTTCATTGCTGTAACTGTTGTAAAGTATTTGCATAACAAATTGATTTTACTTCTAGTAAAACAATGTAGAGTTGTTCGCTGTCTTACATTTATGGCGGGGGAGGAGGGAGATAATCTCAGGATTTTGGAACATGCTGCATATACAGAAAAACAAATTACCTGTATATGCATTTGTCACAGATTTCATCAGATACATTACTCATGCACCATACAAATAGTAAATGTGACAAGTTTGGCCTGACATCTCATCTCAAAATATATATATATACCATGCCGTCATTCTGTTTGTGTGTGAATATATAGCAAACTGTGTCAATCATTAAGGGCTGTGTTCACTCCATTGCACATAATGGCCCAGAACTTGGCCTCCAATAATGCTGCTTTTAATAGGACAGCTGGGGTTTCTCTCAGTGTGGGGGATAGCTAGGGTGCATAAAGCTGATACCCTTCCCCTTCTTGGAGGTATGTCAGGTGTGGGAGGAGGCGTGGCAGTCCCTGGCTGTGAAATGGCCCCTATAATTAGGAGACTCTGGCTTCAATTTAGTAACGTATTTAAATACCTGCTTATGTCTCATGCACTTAATGGACTTAAGCCCATGCTTAAGTGCACTGCTGAACTGAAGCCTGTAACCCAGCCTTCTGTGTGCGTGAAGGTGCAGTGCATAATTAAGCAGTATTCTATCTGCTATAAAACCAGTTCTTTTCAACCCCTTTATAAACGGTGTTACGTGCCTGCTACAACATGGATGTTTCAGAGAGTGTCTGTAGATAAGCATAATCAAATTGAGCATTACCCTTTCATCATGCTTTTCTCTCTCTCTGTATGTTACCAAATTTCCAGTACAAAATGTCAAATCTAATATTGTGCACTGGGCAGGAAGGAAATCAGCTTATGGGAGCACACAATGGCTCACCCCAAAAAGGACAACCTATCAATAGAGCATCTTGCAAGTCTTGGCTGGTTCATTTCTTTTCTTTGATATTTCTTCAAAAAGAATTCTCATTGTAATTGTTTTATATATTGTAACTTCACGGTACCTTTTTTCTTATTGTTTGAGGGTTGCTCATCTTGTGTTGTAACCGTTGAAATGCTTGTCATAGGTGTGTTGCTTTTATGATGATAATGTACCTCCGTAGGTGGTGTGGACTGAGAGAGCACTTCAGTAAATGTTTTTACTATACATTTGTGCAGGAGCATGGTTTCCCTTGTGTGCAAATGTGGGAGAATGGCATATGAGGTGCAGCTTGGCATTTTATGAAATACTGAGGCCAGTTCTTGCCACAGAAAGGCAGGCACAACTCCCATTGAGGGCCATCCTCTTGCTGAGGATGGTGACAGGGGCCAATATGACCTCACTTTCTCCCTGTCCTCTTGTGGTTCCTTCCCAGTCCTTCCCCCATTGAGATAGGTTCTTCTTTCTCCCGCAAGGTGCTTAGGCGGTGTGACATTGCACTCTATATGATTTTATAAAAATATGCTAATGACAAAGCCCTGGCTGGGATGATTTAACTGGGAATTGGTCCTGCTTCGAGCAGGGGGTTGGACTAGATGACCTTCAGGGGTCCCTTCCAACCCTGATATTCTATGATTCTAAGGATTGTAATGACTGGAACCATGGTACTGGGATGTCTGGCTGCATGACTGCCCTGTAGATTACATGACACATTATAAACTACTCACTTTTACGCAATAATAAAAATACCTGATGCATAATAATGCCCATCACTGATACCATACTTTCCACCCAAAGTGCTCTGCAGAGGAGGGTAAGTATCATTTCAAACTGCTTTACAAACCAAGGGATGTGACTTGCCCAAGGTCATAAAGGAAGCCAGTGACAGATCCAGGAACAAAACTCAGATCTCCTGATGCTCAGACCCTGGCCACTGAGCCTGGATTTATTGAAATAACTGAGCTGCTGAAACATGTGGTGTTGTCTTAAAGTAACTTTTGAATAAACTTTAAAAATGAGGCTAATTGTGGTAAAACTGGACCCACCGAGGAATGTGTTTCTGTGAAGGATCTTTTATTGTGCTTCCAAACTCACCCGTTTTCATAGGCTCCATTTTAGAGCTCTTCTCTTGGGATATCTGCCTGCTAACTGTTGCCTGGTGGTATAATTTCTGGAGCTGATATCACTAAGGCGAATTAGTATTGGCAACCCTGACTTCATTCTGCTGATGACATCCTTAGGGAGGGGTGATCCTTTCTAATGGTCATTCAACATCCTGTGTAGCTCCAACCTAAACTACTCTGAAGCAAAGAGGTGGGACTTCACAGTCAGGGAAAGGCTGTCTGTTCTCTGTCTGCCTTTAGTCTGCAGCACCTATGAATGCTTACCTGTTCGCTATAACCACATAGTGGAGAGACATCAGTTTATAGAAAAGAATCCCTTGTCAGGGCTGCTGAGTCACACCCCAGAGTCACCCTGGTAGTCCTTGAAGCAGGACAAGAATTACTAAAAGGGGAAGCCAGATCCTCTACCTCTGGTCTGTCCCCTTTGAATTACCAGCTGGTGATTCCCTTTGTGAAGGGGAAACCCATGGGGGTGTCAAGCTGGTTCTCTACCACCTGCTCCTAGCCCCTGCCCCATGCCAGGGACAGGATGGATGAAACGAGGAATGGACAGAGCACACTGCACTCTGGCAAGCCCAGGCTAATGGAATGGCCTGTTACTGATATTAGAGCCAAGAATCTGACTCAAGAGCTGCTAAGACTGACCAGCAGGAAATATATCATTTAAATAGGTTTGTTTCTTTTCTCAGACACTGATTTATTTGGAGATGGGAAGTTTCCCCAAACTACCAATTTCCTAGCTTCATATCTGTATGATAAATATCTTCCCGGCCAGGGAATGAGTGTATTTCCCCTTTCATATTTTTGTTCTGTAGTTGGCATTATCATTTGCTAACTGTATCACAACACGCTTTTTACCTTGGTCCACTGCTTCAAAACCTTTGTGTGGCTTCAACCTCTTTACTCTAGGAACTTCACAGAGTAAATAGCGGATGCTCTGTAACCTGAAGACTTTAAATCATGATTTCAGGACTTCAGTAACTCAGCCAGAGGTTAGGGGTCTAGTACAGGAATGGGTGGGTGAAGTTCTGTGGCCTGCAATGTGCAGGAGATCAGACCTGATGATCATGATGGTCCCTCTGACCTTAAAGTCTATGAGTGTGAATATAATGTAACTGGAATATGCTTCACGCAAAAGGTCTCTTGTAAGGTATCATTACAAAGCTTATAATCTACTAAGTGTGGTCATCCTGTTTGGATAAATGTATCACTCTTGTATCTGAAACTAGTGTGACAGGGCAAGAACAGATGGCTATGGAAAAGTAGTGGGAGACAGCTATATTAGCCCCAGGCTAAACAAATCCCTGGTACCAGGATAAGTG